AGTCTCAAAGTGGGTTCCTCGTCATCGAATTTGTTATCTAATCTCGTAATAGTTTCTTTCAAATTTCATATATTTATATTTCCGTTCTTGTTGTGGTTATTAAAGGAGATATTTCCCCCTTGGCTACTATTTCAGAGTTGTTTTTTTTTCTCAAATGTTTCTAGATCTAATAACACCCTGCTATGGAGATGGAGAGAATCCATACACACCAAACCATCCAGAGCATGCTGAAGCAGAAATGTTAAATCCAATCCAAGATAACACCTATGAGTTTGTTAAAGAACTTGTTTCAGAAATTAAAGATGTTTTTGTTGATGACTATATTCATTTGGGAATGGATGAAGTTTACTATGCTTGTTGGTAAGTGTTACTAAACTTCTGTAGTTCAAATCCTTTTTCTGTTGTTGTTGTTGTTGCTTTATTGTTAAATGAACATTGTTCATAGTTTTTAACCATATAATTTCTCAAAAACATTGGATTTATGGTAATTTCCTCAGTTCAGATTTGAACTCGAGGTCTCTTGCCCACCAGGCAAGTGCTCTACCAACTGAGCTAAAGCATTAATCCACGAGCACTTGCTAGTATGGCACTTTTTAACTACTAACTCAAACTGCCGTGTTCTTTCTCTCTCAAATCAAATTGCTTGTTAGTTCATGACTATTGGTTACAGAAATCCTTAATTGCTTATGAATCACACAAAAAACATTGAAAATTACCATCAAAATTGCAATTATTCTACTAATTTCTGCTTCAGTTTCCTAAGTATTTTACATAGAACTTAAGTGATTTAACCTAATTTATTTGGTAAGTTCTTTATGACGATAAAACTATTCAATATGATGCAATATGTGGATCCCAGCAGTAATGGAAAGTTGAACAGCATAAAAACAAGTCAGTAATAATTTGAAGGTTACCGGTACTTTATAAAGATTTTGATAATTTTGCTACATCTCTAAATTTTTTAACATCGTCTTATGCCGACTTGGTCTAAGAAGTAGCATTAATACTATGATAACTTACGAAGGAATTCTTCACACAGTATTCATGAACTTTGTTGTCACAAGTGATATTGTCTCTTGCAGATTTAGTTGTTATGACCTCTCTAATGAGAAATACACACACACAAAAAAAGCACAGAAATAAATATTAATCTCTTATCACAGCATATAATTAAATATATATATATGTTATGTACTTAAGTAATATGGTTAAATCCTGAGCTGGCTCAAGGTGGGTTCAAAGAACCAACCGTAAAATTGTAAGGGTAAAAATATGATAAAAATTTAGAAAAAATACTAACAAGAGAATAGGGATATTTGTGGTGAAAGTTTGTGGGCATAACTTAAATTAATATCACATCGAATACCTGAAAATTCAACTCCAGATAAGGTCTTATTTTATGTATGTGAAAACCAAATCAAAAACATTCTCTAATTGTGTTTGTTGCTCTAAGAATTTTATTAATTTTTTTCCTGTTAGTGTGGCAAGTATTGAAACTGTGTTTTCAAGACTAAAGTTGATGAAAACATTTTTTCATTCCACACTGGGATAAGGAAGATTAAATGGTCTAAAAATATTAGAAAATGATTTGGCCAGAAAATGTATATGGACAAATTAACTCTCTCTCTCTTGCCACGGGCATCCTTTTCTGTGGATGTCAAGAGGTTTTTAGTGAGTTATATTCAAAACTTAATTAAAAAATTTTGGGTTATGTTATACCAATTAGTATAGCATAAGATTGTAGCTAATAATCCATATTTTAATAGTACATAAATTTTAAGTCAAGGTTTCCCAAGGTAGTTGATATCGACCCCTGGAGTCAATAATACTGTACAGGGGTGAATAAAGACCTAGGGGTCAAAAATTGCCCCTAGGGTAAAGTTGGCCTACCCAACTAACCACCCTACTCCTAGTAGCAACAGCACAGGTAGCAACAGCAAACAAATGACGTTCGTTCCTTTTCTCAAACCTTCCAGAATGTATAAATTCACATAGTAATGAAAAACACGTATTTGAAAAATAAATATTAATTTAATTATTTGTTTTATTTTATGCTTGTTAAAAATATAATAGTATTATGATTATTGAAATAAATAAATAGTTTCATTTATAATTTATATTTTAAGAATTTGGGGGTTGATGACAACTTTATAAGTTCATCAAGGGGTCAACAACTCTAAAAGGTTTGGAAAAACCCTGTTTTATATTCTTAATTTTATAAAGCAATATTGAAAAAAAATCCAGAATTTCCCCTAGTGTGAGAAATGTAACATTTTTTCTCTAGACATCCCCTCTTTTTCTAGTTTATTTGCCACCTCTCCAATAAGTAAGTAAGAAATTTAATGTAAATTACTCACTATAATATCGTCATTGCTGAGACAAAGCATAATCTTTATAGCCTTCAATCTTGTTTGGTTACAGAGCCATCAAATAGAAAATCAGACCCCTCTTGCCACACCCACCTGTCAGATCCTCTCTTTCAGGATTTGTTAATAGTTCTATGTTATGTTTAATACTATATTACATATAATGAATAGAAAGAAAAGGTTTTCATCTATCAAATAACATGTTATATCACATTGTTTTTTGTACAGAGAATTGTAAATTTTTCTTTCACTATAAGCTTCATTCCATGGGAAACATATCAACTAGCTTGGATGAATTTGTAACGGCTTTTGTTGCATAGTTAGAAAGACAGAAAAATTGTGATAGTTATAGGACATTTTCTGCTTTTTGCATGCTAATATTCTATGTTCTTTGGTGCATTATTTAATTAAAGAAAAATTGTTTAGTGCACTACTACCATTAGTATATAAAAGTAGAGTTAAGTGTCATTGACAGTTGACAATAATAACAAACAAAAAGGCCCAGGTATGTAATTATTTCTTGTTTTTATGTTTATTTATTTATTAGTATAAAAGTAAATAAAATATAAAAACAGGAAACTAGGTTATTTAAGGTTAGATTAGGTAAAATGAATAATAATATAATAAAAAATGTTCACGAAGCATGCATGCGAGCAGCTTGGAGTAGCTTGTAGGTAATGTAATTTGAAATTGTAACATCAGCTGCATATTTCACAAATAATTTACAACTTATAATGGTGTGAATAGTACTAGTAATAGTCGGACATGGTTCAAAGAGCAATAAAACAATAAAATTTAAGTATAAATATATGTGTACTTGTATGTATATGTTTAAAGCTCCCTTAGGATAAACAAATGTAGTTTCATGTTACAATTTGAAATCATTCTAGAAAGAAAAAAAAGGCAATTTAGATTTATTTCGATTTTTCTATTTGGTGTTTACAAGGTCGGTCAAGTTGACCAATCTCATAAAGAATTAGGGTAGAGAAAATAACAGATAAAATATAAAGTTATACTGAAAACAAATATTTGAAATGTATTTAGAAGGTTTAGAGATTATGTAAATAAAATTTGAGATGAAAAAAAGTATTTTTAATCGTAACATGAAAATCACTTTGTACTCAGACTAATAAAAAAAGACTTGTAATGTTTACTGAAAGCCTGCCAGATTTTCTGAAGGTACACATACTATATTAAAAGTTTGTAGTATCAAAACTATAACAACTTTAAACGAGTACAAATTGTTCATGTGGTTAGTCAATTTGACCAAGCCCATGTTGAAAGAGTTAAGGAAAAATTTTACAATGTTAAATGCTTGTAAAGTTCCATTTTCTAAATACTAATCTTTGTTTTATTTTATGTATTTTTCTACTATGTATAATTTTTGTACTCTGTGTTCTGAATTTTAAAAAATGATTAAAAATTTTGTAAAGTAGAAATTTGAAAAGTTGAAATTTTTATTTTTGCACCCTTCAGTTTTTTAACCTGAGCTGGCACTGTTTAAATCACATGCCATACTAGTTTAGACTTGATATATTAAAACACAACCTGTTTAAAAAAAACAACAACAACGTAAAACAGAAAAGCATAAGCTTCTGGCTTTCTGCAGGAGTAACATACTTGTATAGTTTGAAGAATAAATAAGAAAAAGTTATAGTTAATATATATAGTTTTAAGGTAATCTAAACCTTCTTGATTTGTTTTTGAAAGATTTATATATTTATTTGTTTTCAGGGAATCCAATCCCAACATTAAAAAATTCATGGAGGAAAACAACATGACAACAATAAATGAAGTGGAGCAGTATTACGTTAAACGCACACTTGCTAACGTGAAAGACATTGGATACAAATACATGATCTGGCAAGATCCTATAGATAATGATGTTCAGGTGGGTTTTTGACAATCATAATGGTCTCTTGTTGTTGATAGCTCATCAATTTGTGGAAGCAAATGTGAGGTGTTCATAGGCAAGTGCAAGAAGCAGGCAAGATTAGAATGGTAGGGAGTCTGGGGGAGTGCTCCCCCTGTTTGATCCAGAGAATGCTTGTTTTAATTTTCATATTAAAATGTGTACAATTGTGAAGTGTTTGTTTAATTTTGTGCAAAGTTATCTGAGGGCTGTCTATGCTAGTCATCCATCAAGGTTTTGCACATATGGGGCCCTAAGTAGTTGTCCAGTTTACCTAATGGGAAATATGGATTTCTATAAAACTTAATGATTTTGGACAACTCTTGTATGAAACTAGAAGATAAACTCGTATATTTATGTAAAAATTTATACCAGAAAATACCAGTGTGTCCATCTGCTTCCAAATACATTACTAACTACTTTCTAGTTTTGATTCTACAACATGATGTATAGGTGGAGGATACATTTAAAAGAAGCTTCATGAAAAAGTTTAGTATGTCTGCGGACTTACGATGCTAGAAACCGTGTTTCGATACTCGTGGTGGGCAGAGTACAGATAGCCCATTGTGTAGCTTTGTGCTTAACTTCAAACAAACAAACAGTGGTCACCACTAAACAATGTTGGGAGTTTATCACTTACTGTATTCAACGGGTAAAGCAATAACTGTAGAGTCTTGTATGAATTGCTTTTCCCTTTTTTTATTTTTAATGGATTTAATATCCATATTTTTGATAATCTTGAGATCTCCTCATTTCAAGGCATCACCGGACACAGTTGTGGAAGTTTGGAAGGACAAATATTTAGATTCCAAAATGGATTACTGGGAGAATTATATTGTTCCCATTGCCCAAAAAGGTTACAAGATAGTGTTGTCTTCATGCTGGTATCTAAACTACATCAGTTATGGACCTGACTGGAAAAAGTACTATGAATGTGATCCTAGAGAATTTAATGGTAAGAAGCAAGATTCAAAGTTAAAACTTTTCCATTTGTGGATATTATACCATATTGTACAGTCCTGGGTTTCAATCACACTTCTTATATTTAAAACATATTTCTAATCCACATCTACTAATGCCGTTATTTGTTACTGCCTTTTTGTTTGTTAAGTTTCTCCATTGAACAGTGCATTACAGAATTTTAGAAGTAGTATTTTTTTTTTCATGGCTTCTGACTATTCATGAGCTGGTATTTTGTTCTGCTTTTCCAACATACGATTAGCTCACGTGTCAAGTCATAGGTAGTATGAAACAAAATCTTGTTTAAAAACTACCATAACGCAACAGATTATATGTACAACTATTTAGTATATTTATGTGAATATGTTTGTATAAAACATTTCCAAACCAGTACATCAGAGAACGTTTTTGTACTAATACAAACACAGATTCTGTCACAATGTTATTAATTACATGGAAACAAACTAGCGAGCGTATTAAAACAATATAATTTCTTAATTTATTTATTTTTTACTATACAATGTTTTAAGAATCTAGTTGCAATAATTAAAATACTGAAATGGTTACATCTAATTAAAATTAATTGAAGAGCATTTGAAAAAAAAACTTACATTGCATATACTTGAATGAATTCAGTATATAGAATTTCCATAAAGATTAAAAATCGTACCTTGATATCTTTTTGCCTGATTCATGGACATTTTTCAAAACTGATGTTCATCGTTATTGGTTTGTTTTTTTAGAATCACTAACAAGAAGAAAGATTGTACTCTAGTTAGAGAGCGTGATTCCAGACTTGAAATCAACAAAACTTTTGTAACGTACTGAAAGATATCTATCCAGACATCTTTTGTATTATTAGTTTTTAATTGTCATTTTCACACAAAAACATATTATGTTACTTAGATCTGAATTGTTGGTTTTTAATTTAACAACCAATACTAGCAACGGCAGTCTTGAAAACCCCCTCTTTTACATTATTAAAGACTTTAAACAATTCTTTGGTATTTAATCAGTGATTACCTTGTTTGATCTTCTTAACATCCAGGTACTGAAGAAGAAAAGGATCTTGTGGTTGGAGGAGAAGCCTGCATGTGGGGTGAATATGTTGATGGAACTAACCTACTTTCTCGTTTGTGGTAATTATCACAGCTATGTTTCTAAGCTGCAGTAAAACTGATTTATGAGTTTTATTAAAAGTATTATACTTTCAGTGATAATTTTTCACATATATAAATTTTTGAATTAATAAAACCTTTGGATTTGGTAAAGTTGTCTTATTAGATTATTTAAATGTAAATGTGGTTAGTAGTCTTACAGAAACACAATTTAAAGTTACATTTGTTTATTACATTTCTTGGCTGTGTAGTGAAATTTCATCAGCTTTGATGGCTAAGAAGTTTTTTTTTATATGTTATTGTGGTATATTCTGTGAATGAAGTAAAATTAACAAAATATAAAATTCAACAGACACTAGATTATTGATTATCTTTAATTATGATTAATTTTTTCATCATCTTTAGTATTTTCGGTATCTTTAATCAATTACTAAACACTGTTAAATATGCCCGTAAGTGTAGAAAGTGTTGTTATAAAGTGTTTTTTACATAAAGTTGATCGTAAACATTAAATATGATTTTAGTAAATATACAAGAACTTATTAAAATAATCATCTAATTTACTCTCAAAATATTTCAAACCAAAGATTTTTCGATCTACTTTTTTTTACTTTTGAACAAAAAATCTTGTTTAATATAGTAAATATTCAAAATAATGTATATCTGAAATAACTGAATCAAATAATCTTGAATGCTGTAAATAATTTTATTTAAAAATGTTTTTCTCTGTATTCATAATTTAGATTACGAAGAGTATAAAATGAGTAAATGAAATCATTTTGTTTAATATCTATATCACTGAAGGCCTCGTGCGGCAGCTGTAGCTGAGCGATTGTGGAGTGATGCCTCTGTACGAGATGTTGACAGTGCCAACTTCAGACTTGATCAACAACGTTGCAGAATGCTTAGGTAATTTTATTAAAATAGAAGGTGTATAGGAATATAATGCTAACCTTAAAAGTTATTATTAGAATTAGTGTTCCAGTTGTTTAGATTGGAAAGTTCTAATGATAGAGATTGTAGTAAACTGTTAAGTCACTGTTTACAGTATGAAATTTACCCAATGAAAAATTAAAAAACTGTTCAGAAGTACTAACACTTAAACAAATATTTGGATTTTGGTATTTTTTTGTAAACTTTTGTAAAAATAATAATAATTATTTTATTACTGTTACTAAATGTTAATATTGGGAAATATAAATTAAAGTGAAATTTAAAAATAACTTTCTTGTGGATCATAGAATCCTAAAAAAAATGTTGGGTAATCTTTTCTTGCATTTCATCAGGCGTGGAATACCTGCTCAGCCAATCCTGAATGGTTTCTGTGGAGATTATGAGTGGGACCTGGATGCTGACATTTGATAGCAGTAGTAACTTGACCAATTGTTGTGAGCTCATTTATATTTTTCTCAAACTAAAACTTTCTTTTTATTGTTAGCTTTTGTTTTGTTTTTAAGTTTTTGAGATAGATTATCTGATCAGAAAACCAGATACTTCTTAATATCATAAAAATATGAGAACGTGGAAAAGTACACCAGGATACTGAGAGCAGAAGATAATTTTCTTTTTTGGAATTGGTAAAATTGACAAAAACAAAAAGGTCATTAACTTCTACAAGTTTTGCGACTAATTAACATCAAGGGGGAAAGCAGTTTTTATTTTCTACACAGAATAGTTTCACAATCATTGTTCATTCTGTTCATAATTAACTAATGAAATTTTCAAAGTTGTTATAACAATCCCTTCAAATACAGAGCCAATTGCAAAAGAACGAAAATAAAATTCTACTGTAGATGTAATAAATTTGTCAAAATTCTCTGTAAAACATCTCTCTTGTCAACTAACAATTGCTCATTCTAAAAATATTTTTAACTTGTAATTTGTTGGAATAAGTATTACGGTAAATAACATGTTACGACTAATAGAAATTATTTAAGACAAAGAATAAGGATAAATATTACCTTTGCACTATTTCAGTATTATAGGAATGTTAACATCAAAATACATTTTAAGCGTATTTTTTAGGTTTGATAAACAAGAGGATCAAATGCAAAAAAATAATTATTTAATTCTAAGGACTTAATTCATGTAGTAACAAAAATCAATAGTTAAAATTTTGATACTGTTAGAATTATATTAAGTTTAACATCATAAATATTGTTCAAGTGCACAAATGTGTGGATTAATATAATTTAGGATGTCTACATGCAACACTAAAATTATAATTACAGCAACATTAAAAGTGAATATATACATAAGAAAAGGTTATATTTTGCAATTATAAATGACATGTAAGAAATAATAATAAAGAGGTCGCTAAAGTATAGGTGTATTTGTATACCAGAAGAAACAGTTTATGCAATACATGTATTTTTTTGCATTGTTATGTCTAAATATGTTTATAGTTGGTATTCTTAAGAAAGACTGCCTTCAGGTTTAATCACATATATGCCAGAGTTCAGAAAAGAAAATTTTCTCAGTACGTCTAGAAAATAAATAATTTTGATAGTTTGTTTGTTACTCTTTTAGACAGTAAAATGGAATAGACAGTAATGAAAGAGATTAACTCACTGTTGACAAGATAATTCATATAAATGAGAATGAGATGAGAATTTTGGGTAAGCTCCACACCTTCCTTTTAAAGGAAAATATTTTTATTTATTTATTTATTTCTTACCTTTAGAATTTTTGAAACTCCAAAAACTGAAATACTTAATAAATAATCATAAAACTAAAATAAACACATTTTCATTACAGCATTCAAGAAAAATGTAATAAAGCATCGTTTCACCTGTTAATCACAGAAGGGAAGACGGTGTGTTAAGTTTAATTTTTTTTTGTCGGTTGCTTATAATGCTAATTAGCTATTCATGAATAAAATGTATTAAGTTTAATTTTTTTTTGTCAGCTGCTTATAATGCTAATTAGCTATTCATGAATAAAATGTATTAAGTTTTATTTTCAATGATTATTATCAGTTTTGTTACAATGTTGCTCATTAATACTGTATGGTGTATTGGTTGAGTGTTGTTTTACTTTTTATTAGATTCTGAATAAAAACATTAAAAACACCCAAGATTGTTTGTTTTTGTGTGTGTCCTGAGATTAATTACACTACCCAAATAGACCACGTATTTGGATATAGAAAATGAAGGATAAGATTAGACAAATCACCAAAGAAGAAACAGTTTAATCTGTAATGTTTTGAACCATTGCCCATTATCAGATCTAAGTGTAATCTCAGTAATCTAAGTATCATTGATATTGATTTCATTGTTTTCTGTTTGTATAAAAGACATATTTATCAAGTTTTGTGGTTGTAAATTGCAACAAATAAGATGATATTGACTAATGATATCTAAATGTTGTTTGTTTCTTGTCTAAAAGAACACAAGTGATGGTGATACAGATTAAGTAAGACTCCTAATATTTGGAGATGTTTATACTATGAGTCGTGCAATGCCATTACTATAAGTTTTGCTGAGAATTTTATGCATTATTGATGAAAATAAATCATCACAGAATCTTGATAGTGATGGAAATGTCATAGTAATCATCACAGAAATGAAATAATGATGAAGATATTGTAGTGATAATCATATAAGCCACAAATTAATGAAAATATATTTCTAAACCCAAACCTTTTTTTTTAATGAAAGCATTTTCCCTTTAAAGAATAAACTATTAACTGTAATATAAACTTCAAGTCGAATTAGTAATTCTACATCCAACAAAATTAATTTCAGTAACTTTGCCATTAGTCACCTTACGACTAGAAGAAGGTAAACTGTAATATATACTTTACTCAATTCAAAATTCAGATTTAACATGCAAGCTTAAGATTCATTCTGTATCTACAATAAAAGTAGATTGTGTGTATACATCACGTTTTCTCATCTATAGTATAAATGATTCTACAGTTTTTATTAAAAGATAAATTGGTTGAACCTTTAAATTTGCAGTTATGTCACATGTGCATGATGGAGGTGTTTATCTTCTCACTATTTAGGACAAGTAAACTTTTAGCTACATGCCCTATAAAATTCAGCAATACAAGTATATTTAGTTTTAAGGAAACTTCAAGTGTCAACTGCCTCATAAATCATCTTAAAAACATCATCAACAACTATGTTGTTATATTATACTGAACTATATGTCTCACTCTGTAGAATGCAAATATTCAAATTCTATGCCTTATCGTCATTTTGATATTGTTAATTAGATTCTCCTGATAAGTGTCAAAATAATCTTTTACCTGGCAATATAATGTTTAATGTAACATACTCAGTCCTAGCTCTGTATTAATTCTTATAATGTTCAGTATCAATAATTACAGGAATCCATGTAAAATAATGCTAGTGAGCATTTTATATTTCTTCAGTACTGTGCCAGAATGACATTCTATCAGAAACATATTTATACAGTTTCGGTGACGAGGAACCCACTTTGAGACTAATAATGGCTGAAGACGGCTACCTGATGATGACAAAACCTTGTCGAAACGTTGTACATTT